TTTTTTAGCTTTTTATGTATTTGTCACAGGGTCTCACTATGAAGCTCGGACTTGTAGTGATTCTCCTGTTTTCAGCCTCCCCAGTGCTAGGATTACAGGTATGTGCCACTGTGCAAGGTCTTGGTGGCCAGTTCATTGTACCTGGGGTGGAGCCGGTGGGGAATGTTTTGCCAGGGATCAAATCTTGGTACCTGTGCTTGCGTAAGTAGACACTTAAGTCTGCTGAGCTATCTGACTGTCCTTTAACTTGTTGATCACAGTATCAACTAGGTTTTATCAAAAATATATAGAAAGAAAAAGTCTTTATTACAAGGATCTAGTGGAAAGTTAAACTATTTCAATAATTATATTCAATTAAATATTCATAAAGCAGCACTATAAATAATATTATTGAAACTAAATGGGTAATATAAATGTGCTATATTTCTGATTTGGAAGGAGAAGATTTAGTTAGGTGCCTTCTTTCTCAGGTACATTCTGAGTTTCTATTTTGTCTCACAATCTTATTTATTTAGCTGTACTTTCTCCATACTCATTTCTCTAGATTCTTATACTTGTTACATATAACTTTATATAAATGTAACTTTTTGGACTGCTATTGAACCTAAAATGTTTGCTTTCCTACTTGTAATTTCATAGCATGACAGTACTTTATCTATCCATTATCCAAACTAATACAGTCAGAAAAACAATAGTGCTATATAGGGACACATATAGAAAAAAGCTTCCAAGTGGATATTTAAACCTACATTTCTATATGCCACTGTTTCCATCACTAACTCATTCCAGCGCTTTTGTTTTCCTGGCTCTATACTACTACTATGCTGACCTTAGACAGAATGTCATTCATAAATCTATCACTAAATTTATTTATAAAATGACATATATACATGCTGCAATAAAAATATTTAAGAATCTCTACATGGAAAATTTCTGATATTTCCTACTTTATACATTCCTAACAGATACATACCTATGTCATATGCCAGGAAATCGGCAGAAAAACATTTTGCACCGTTACTCAATGAAGTGTCATTATGGGTATTTCCTCCAAAAATAAGCATAGCTCCATTGATAAGAACAGCTGAATGAAGGTATCTGGCAAACCCACTTTCTTTCAAAATAGTCCTACAGAATAAAATTTAAAAATGTATTACAAAGGATAAAAAGACCCCCTGATTTAATATATTTTATAAAGGGTTGATTCCCTGGAGTTGAAGGAAAAAAGATGGCTTTTTAAAAACATATAAATGACTAAGCTTCAATTTTTAGAAACAAATACTTGAAGAGTCTCCACATTTAAAAATACTTCAAGGAAATACAAATAGCAAACAGTCATTACTAATCACAATAATTTATATTTTAAGTTATTTTTATTTATAAAAGTAAAAAACAAGTTTTCTTCATACTAGAGGACCAAAACATCATGATTTTTAAGTAACAAAATGAGTAAAATTAAACATAATGAGCTTACTCTGACTTGTATTTTGTTTAAACTATAAAGTTAATATGGACCCTTTAATAAACATATTAACTTTCATGTAAGTATAATATAATGCACACAGTAGTGCAGATAGCATAAATCTAAAAATCAATAGATTTTCATAAGATGAATGTTAAGTACCAGGATCTAGATCAAAAACAAAACCGAACATTACTACTGTCCTGACTCTAATGACAGATTTGTTTTGTTCTTTTGTACTCTACATAGATGGAATCATACAATTGTACTCATTTGTGTGTAGGTCCTTTTGCTCAAGATTGTTTTTAGATCTAGGTATATTTTGTGTAACTAAAATTATAATTATAATGGAATTTTGAGAAATACCATAATCAACATAAATGCTCTTTTAATTAAAGTGTAATTGAAAATAAATGCTATAAATATATGCTCACAATTGCTCTGAATGAATATTTATGTATGTGATAGTGTATATATATTCTGTAACTATGCTGAGCAAATCTTTGGAACACAGAATGTAAAACTGGTTGCTATGTATACTGTAGTTGTATGATATATTTAGTATCTCTAATTTTTTAATGCTTACATAATATGATGCTGATTTCTAGGATGATATAATATGAAGACTCCCACAAACACTCTCACCAGGCAAAAGCTATGGTTAATAAAAAAGTATACATACACATTTAAAGTCTCAGAAAATTTTACTAAGAGTAACAGTAAATAAGGAAATACTTAAGACTATCAACTAATTTTGGTAAGAATATAAGTAGTATATGCCATCAGATCCATTACTCTCAGATCCACTCATCCTTCCTCCACCCACAATCACACCCACACCCACACACTAGTTTGAATTAACAGAACTTCTACCTTAGGTGGTTAAAGCCCAGAACACAAGGTACACAAGCCTCCCTCATCACTCAACTCTTACGCCAGGCCAGTGATAAATAACTCACTGTTAGGCCACCTGCTCTTCTCATACGCTACTTCCCCTCACCCCTCCCCAAACTGATGTGACAGCCCTATTCGAAGAAAAACACCAGTTTTCTGCCCAGTCCCCACTCACTAGGCTTGTAAACTCAGAATACTGGGACCAAATCTACTTACTTGTCCTAATTTCTCATAAAACAGAACTCTAGGTCAGAACAGGCAAATTTAAAAGACCAATTCCTTGTGCAACGGCCTACTCATAACAGCAGTATCACTCTAAACACTAACACAGAGGTTTTCCCCAGTACAAGAGGATAAAAAAACTCTCCTAAAGTAACTTACTTCATTTTTAGAAAGGGTAAGGAAATCTCAAGCCAAAAGCACATCCAAAAATAATAGAGAATAATGAAGAGTTAAGGGTAATAAACTAAACCACAAACCAGCTATGATTTTACCAGAGAGAAAGACGAAGAGCTAATAGTCTTCTGAGTGTCAGAATAAACCTGATAAATGGGCCTCAGAGACAATTAATATAAAAGAACTCAAGTAAACTTCAGTTACTAGATGGTGAAGCAATCTGTGCCCCAATAGCACTCTTGAGAACAATGGAACCATCAATCGCCAGTTAATGGAGGCTAACAGCTGAGTGTGAAAACAGAGCTCAGTGGCAGAGGGAGCAAGCCTAATAGAGAACTCAGAATAAAAGGGAGTCCTGATAAAACTATCATCCCAGAGTGAGTTGTGTATATTCCCAAACTGTAACCTCTGAGCAACAACATGAGAGTATATACAGAGGATGAAACAGACTTCATTAAGAGACCAGGTAAGATTAAATAAAATAACAAGCAGTGCTAGAGAGATAATGACTTAGAATGCAAAATTACTACTATTAACTAAAATGTCAATTTTTCAGAAAAAAACATGACACACAAAGCAATAAAAAAATTAGTAAAACTTATATGAAAAAAGTATGCAAAAGTAACTGCCTATGCAAGAACCTGCATGTTAGACTTGTTGAAAAAAATTTCAAACCAGCTATTTTAAATATCTTCAAAATATGGATGAGGAGATAGCTCAGTGGTCTAAGGGTCAGGGTGGCAAGCTAAAGGACCCAGCTGGGTTTGATCCCATTACTGTACCATGCAGGCCACCGAAACTGGGCATGGTGGCACACTCCTGTAATCCTAGCACTGGAGAGGCTGAGACAGGAAGATAGCTAGGAGTTGTTTGCAGCAAAATGTACAGTAGTTGAAAACATTACATTAAGTAAAATAAGCCACATCCATAAAGTTAGGCTATAACTGAAAAACTATTAGAACTAATAAATAAGTTTATCAAGATTAGACAACAAAAGAATAATATGCAAAAGATCAACTAGCTGTAAGAGCTATACACTAGCAATGAAACCTCCTAAGACTAAAAGTAGCAAAAGAATCAAATTTAAAATAGCATCAAAGTGGCTGCAGAGATAGCTCGGTGGTACCAAATAAATAAATAAATTTAAAAATAGTTAAAATAGTATCAAAAATAATATTCCAGAAATATATTCCAGAAAAAAATTGTAAAACTCATACTCTAAAATTAGAAAACACAGAAAAAATTAAAGAAGACCTAAACAAATGAAATGATAAGTTGTATTTATGGATTTAAAAATCAGCATTGTTAAGAAGGTTAGATGCTCCAAATAGAAGTACAAACTCCTCATCCCCTAACAAGATCTAAGCAGGCTTTTTTTCTTTTTCAAGGATCTAGAAAGCTAATTCAAGAAAGATATTGGATCCCTTCTTCCCAAAATGCATGTAAATTAACTCAAAATGGATCATAAACCTAATTTCAGGTAGAAAAAAAACAGAATACAGTGTTTTCTAAATTCACTATTGTCTAGTCTTTCTTTATAAAATAAAAATATTACTACCTAGTAAATAGTAAAGGACTAATATGAATCAGGAAATATATTCAGCTGGTACAAAGATATTTAAAGCTAATACAACCACTAAGAAAATCAGGATCTAGATTTCTCTAAAACTTAAAACTAGAAACTCCATTTGGCCCCACCAAACACCTTGAGGGTAACTTTTCAAAGATTTAAAGTCATCATATTACAGGTATATATGCAGACCCAGGTTTATAGTAGCACAATTCACAACAGGTAAATTATGAAAGCAGCCAATATGCCTATCAACAGATGTATGGGTAAAGAAAATGTGGCATACACAATAGAAAAAAATCTAAGTCTTTCGTAGGACAATGGATGGATCTTATAACCATAATATATATTAACTAAAGTAAGTCAGATACATGAGCTAAATGGCACATGATTTCTATAAATGAGAGATCTAAAATGTAAATAATTTTAAGAGAAAAATAAAGGAGCAATGGTAGAAAATATAGACCCTGTGGAGATGAGAAAGAAATCCAGGGAAAGAGGAGAAGGGGAGGAATCTATAGAAGAAAGAGCAAAACTGATTAAGATGAGATAGATAGACAGATAGGCCAACCAATACCAATTTCTGAAGATGAATATAATTGTTATGTATTACATATACAAAAGACTAAGGAAGATATTTAAGCATTTAAACTAATATAATTTAAAATTAATTTAGTATCTAACACTAAATAATAAGCATTTAACCTAAAATAATATGAGAAATCAGTATTTATTTCAGACTTACTAGGCTGGTAGAGCATTTGAAGATCAATTAATACCACATCATTAGGCTATGCAAGAAAATAATATGGTCATATCAACAGATGCAAACCATACATTTGACAAAATCCAAAATCTAGTCAAGATAAAAACTCTCAGAAAATAGCCAACAGGATGGAAATACTCAGCCTGGTAAACACCTACAAGAATTTATAGTCAGTAGTAAAGAACTTCCTTCTAAGAAAAGGAGCAAAGCAATAATGTACTGTCTTCTTTCCTACTCAACATCATACCGGCCTTAGTTACTGCCACAAGAAAAGAAATACAGGGGCTCACAAGATAGCTCAGCAGTCTAAAGTGCCTGCTTAGGCAAGCTTAGGTAAATGCAGGGACTTCAGTTCGATCCCTGGCACCACATGCCACGCCAGCCCCACCCCCAGGGTGGACTGAGCTGGCCACGAAAGCAAATACAAATGGAGAAGGAAAAAGTAAAACTGTCTTTGTTCACAAAGATATAGGTAGATGCTACGTAGAAGATGCCAAAGAATCAACAATACAAAAACTACTGGTACTATTAAACTTATAACAAAGTTGTAAGATACAAGGCTAATATACAAAACTCAACTGATTTCCCATATACCAGTAATTAACAAGTAGAATTTGAAGTTAAAAATATATTAGTTATACTAGTATCAGAGAAAAAAGATAAATATACATAAATACAACATGATATATGCAAGATATATATAAAGAAAATTACAAATTCTCATAAAAAATTGAATCTCCACAAAAATGAAATGTATTCAGAGTGTAGTATAGTACATGTACATGGATTACAAGACTAATATTATCAAAATACGTTCTTCTCATCCTATAGATGCAGTCTCAGCAAACCTTACAGCAAAATATGTGCTGAACATCAATGGATTCTAAATGTATATGGAATGCCAAAGTACTAAAGAAAGGTAACCCAGTATTGAAGAATAAAGCTTAAGGACTGATAATGCCTCATCATAAGCTTTACTATGAGGTGATAGTAATCCAGACAACTTGGCAATGGCAAGAGATAAACAAATCAGTGGAACA